CAGAAGACTTCAGGTGTTGCCGTTTTGGATCACGGCCAGCACGAACCTTCTCCTTCTGTGGCACCCGCTTTGAAGCTGATGGCGGAGCAGCTGGATCTTGTGTGCCGTCTTCTTTCTGCTTCGAATCTTGCGGCAGCCGGTCGACGTCAAGTGCGTCGGCGTCCCTTCGGAATATGACCGAAGGATGGGGGCGGGGTCAGTAACTACACAGCTACAAAGGTAACAAGAACAGTTAAAGAACAAGAGAAGAAGGATCACCGGCCGTTGTCGTCCAATGAGCACGGCCATGGAGATCACGAGATGAGTGCTGAATGCGTACATGCGGTGGTCGGGTGGTGCGAGAGCGGGAGTGTGCAGCATGCTGCGTGCCTGCACGGCTGCACCTGATGCGCCGCCGTCGTCGCTCTGCACGGATAGGAAGAGAGGAGTGGAATGTGTGCTAGGTTTATGTTAGAGCCGGCTGCATCTCTCTTTTATATGGCATGGATTAAGCTGTTGTTGGGCTATTCTGATGGGCTGACATATGCCCATGGGTTTGCGGGTTCGGGTGACATAATACCACGCCCACACCCGCATATCCGATGGGCAAAGCTTTTTATCCATTAACATGTCCATAGGTAAGGATTTTAATCCACATCCATACCCTAATAGGCAAAAACCCATCAGGTTTTAGGTGTCGGGTACCCATTGCCATTTTTAAACACGACAGATCGCCGTCAGGCGTTGCGTTACGAGGCCCCATGCGTTTCAGGCCCCACATTCCCCGATCCGGAATCCCAATCTGGGCTGGCGCTGGCTCCGGCCACCGCTGCGTGCCTGCCTGCCTGGAGTGCCTGGTAGAGGGCTGGAGGCCACATTTCAATTCTCCAGTCTCTTCAACCTCCGTCCACTTGGCGCCACCTTCTGGAATCTGGATGGTTAAGGTAGCCTGTGATGGTGCCAAACTACCCTATACGACTCGCTAAACTTGTTTTTGAATTTCGACGATTCGCTAATCCGGTTGGTATAGGGGAAGGAAGAATGTGCACAAGAATGATAGGCGTGCAGGCATGAACGCGAGGGGGATACGACAGTCTGGTCTGGTCTTGTCAGGTTGGTTGGCTGCCCCTCCCACCCAAACGCCCCAGCGCCATCCAGGAGCGAGCTGTACGTGGACGTTGTCACGGCCTAATCACCTACCGCCACCAATTAACGCCGGCTGAAATTCAATCGTCGCTGTCTGTCGCGATCAATTAATCAGCCTATTCGCCTATTCGTCTGTTGGTTTCAGTCAGAGCCTATCAGCCATGGTATAATATTTTTCTCTCACAACGAATCAGCACCAACCGAGCTTATTAGCCTAGAAACCAACCAACGAACCGGCTGAATAATCATCCATCCTGACAACCATCAGCGCTATTCGATGCTCTGCTCTGCTTGCCTGGATCAATCATTGCTTCCTTGGTTTCTCTTTAATTGTTATATAGGATAGGAGTTGGGACCTAACCAACCATGTATCGTACCAGCATTCCATTGCAGACTTTGGTGCCTCGCGTGCACTGATGGAGAAACAATGATGGATTACCTGTTGGATTGTCGTACAGTTCCATGCTCGAGCAGTGGCGGCATCATGGAGATGGGGACACTCGGTTCTTTGCTCGGACTCGGACCAATGGCTGTGCACAGTTGCCGGAGATTAGCCTGCTGATTAGGTGCCAGTACCCAGTAGTTGCTGCTTTTGGTTTGGCTGTGCTGTGCGATGCCTGATAGCAGGCCATTCATGCACGCATGCCTTGCCGATGCAGCAGGCTGGTAAGCACTGTGGAGTCGTGAGCTATCGGTTAGTGCGATGCATGCATATGTCACGGCAATTTTCGGTATGATTCGGTGTCTAGTTGTCAGCCAGCTGATGGCAGCTGCTCTGAGATCAGATGAGAGTGTTCGTGGTGCGCCTCAACCTGGATGCGTTGTCAAACGGCCGGGATTCCTTTTAGTTTAGGGCTCGTTCGGTTTAGCTCAAACCAGGCCAGGAATTATTTCGGTTTAGCTCAAACCAAGTCAGGAATCATTCCGGTCGACAAAACTTATTCAAATTAGACAATGAATCTAGGCTGAAATATTTTCAGGAAGTCATTCCCCTTCAACTGAACGTGGCCTTAGGGTTGCCAAATGGAGTGCTCAAACGTATACTCCTCTGTCATCTCTAGTCTGTAGTCTCCACCAACATTATTCCTCCTTCCGGTTGGTAACGCCACAAAAAACAGTGCCTCAACGTTCCTGCGTGCCTGCCTGCCTGCCTGTCAACCTCTGTGTTTCAGAAACGCAATGATGCTGACGCCTTCAGTTTTGTGGCCGTTAATTAATGCAGAAACAAGTGTATCAGCCGTAATGCACAGTATTAGCGCGCGTAGTACGGTTAGTAGGAGGAGGATCCAGCGTTGATGGGTTCACCGGGCCCGTAGAAACTGACAACCTAAGACACGGCGCGACCACCGATGATCCTTCCAACGTCTAGCAGTAGTAGTAGATTCTTTTGTAGGAGATGGAGCGGTCCTGCATTGGATTCTTGCAGCGGCCAGCAGCCAGCAGCCAGCGGCCAGCGGCAGCAGGCACATCACATAGGATCCGTTCCGTGCATGCCCGCGTTTGACTCGTGCCGTTGCGTCGATCCGTTGCGTCCGTATCTGAGGACAGCAGTCAGCAGATGCGTGCTGTGCTGCTTCTCTGAAGAGCTACTACTAGCTGCCAATCGGCCCGAAGAGAGCTAGCTGCCGAAAACGAACGGCCGGGGCACCTGATCAGATCTCTCATGGTTACCGAGCCTCTTTTTTTTTTTTTGCGATTTCATGGTTACCGAGCCTTGACCACGCTGTTATCGCTAACCTAATGGTAAACAAGGGTCGGGTCACCAACTCGCAGGTCGCTAATGCGCCGGCAGACGTGGGCAGATCTACCGGTGCCATTTTTTTTTTCTTCGAGAGGTGCCTCTCAAGTCAGCATTTGCAGAGGCTAATAACAGGTGCTGGTTTGGTTTGGGTTAAAATATCTCTGTCATCTTATCCGGACATATAGCTGTTCCAAAGCGAAGGCCTTGCTAGTGGCTGATTAGAAGACGCTAAACATATAAGAAAACAGCCGTGGCTTGTAGAAATTGTCGTCTCCTATTTTTTCAGAAGGAAAACAGATGGATGGAGATGAGTGAGCACGGAGTTTGTGATGTGACACCCTGACCTGAAACGTTTGCTGCTGGCAAAAGGCAAGGACAGCTTTAGCTGCACTTAGTACTGACGGAACAAGTCTTGCTGGAGCACGTAGTACCTTCAATAGAAGAAGTCACGCACGTTCACGTCTCTTGGTTAATGCCAAAAGTATCACCGTTCTGTGTTGCGACAGAGACAGAAAGTTTACATTACAAACAAATTGCAAGTTTAAAATGCGATTACTGAATTTTCAGCTACCTACGGTTCTCTTTGCATTTTCTTTATATATCTACCACGTCACCGCATATTATCGTGCCATTTTTATTTACACTGAAACTAACACTCTCCTTTTCTTTTAAAAGGACTAAAAATATCTCATGTATGATACAATATATATTATTAAGGAGACAAAACACTTCCACAAACAATAACCAATAAAAAATTACAAAGGATAAAAAATATAAAATTACAAAGAAACCCCTTGAGACAGTGTTCTTCATTAAAAAATAGCTGCCTGCCAGATATTGAAAGACACAATGCAGAGATAGTATGTAAATTTTCCCTCTGCAATCGATGACCCCAGTAGCCACTTGTTGACGATGAGATTTAAAAACCTTTATTAGAAGAGAATCATACTCTTTCCATTTAAAAAAAAATGTAGCTATAAGATTTCTACAAGTCAAATTGACCAGATTATCTATTAAAGAATATTAATATTTATGTCTATAACTAGATTTACTATAAAATGTAATTTATAACTAGTATAATACTCAATCGACGTTTTGGCTTTTCTAGATTCATGATTTTTGCTACGCACTTAGATATACACTATATCTAGATACATAGTGAAAACAATGCATTTAGAAAAGCTAAAATGTCTTATACTCCCTCCGTTCCAAACTATAAGTCATTTCAAGAATCTTGAAGAGTCAAAGCATCTTAAATTTGACCAAAATTATAAAGAAAATTATAAAGATTTATAACATTAAATAGGTATACTATGAAAATATAATTAATAAAGAATCTAATGACACTTGGTTAGTATCATAGATATTATTATCTTATCATATGAATTTGGTCAAACTTAAGATCCTTTCACTCTCCAAGATTATTGGAATGACTTATAATTTGTGATGGAGGGAATAATTTGGAATAGAGGGAGTAGTATCTTGTATTATAAATATTAGTTTTTTTTTATAAATTTTACTAAACTTTAGATCATTGACTCTTTAAAAATAAGAATTATATCTTTTGTGGAACGACGGAGTACATAGATTTCTGCCACCCCAATTCCGACGCCACAGAGGATAGAAGATACTGCAAACTTTTGCACAAGAAGCCTCACTAAACCTCGTACAATTTATTCTTTACTATAAAAAATCTTTCTACGAATTTCTTGTAGTCTTTTTGTTGAAATTTATAGCGGCAAATGACCCTAGAAGCATTGTAAGAAAAGGTTTCGTAACCAGAACCAGAAATAAAAAAAAAGTGTACATCTTGCAAGTTCTATCATTTCTTTTTTTCTTGTGACCATGAGTTTCCGCATAGAATTGTACCCGGGCAGCATTTCCGCCTTCTTCCGCCCCCTGCCCGCTTCAGCTGCTCTGGTTTTGGTTCTCTTCCAGCCAGCCACCGCAAAGCGCGCAGCAAAGCTGGCCTCACTCTGACAGCTCAGCTCCTCCCAAGCTCCCTATATCTCTCCTCCCATCCCCCAAACCCTAATCCCCGGCATAACACAACAATCTCTCTCTCCCCTCACTCACTCTCTCTCTCTCTCTCTCTCTCTCTCTGCAGCGCGCAGCTTTCAAAGCGTTGGGAGAGATGGCAGAGGAAACGCAGCCAGAGGCCGCCTCCGCCGCCGCCGCGGCCGCCGCGGCCGAGGTGGTCGTGACCGAAGCGGCGCCGGCGGAGGCGGAGGTGCCTGCGGCGGCGGAAGCCGAGGCGGAGAAGAAAGCTGATGAGGCGGCGGTCACCGCCGATGACGCGGGGGAGGGGAACGGCTCGTTCAAGGAGGAGAGCAACCTGGTGGAGGACCTGCCCGACCCGGAGAAGAAGGCGCTCGACGAGTTCAAGCAGCTGATCGCTGCCGCCCTCGCCGCCGGTGAGTTCAACCTGCCTCCCCCGCCGCCGCCGCCGAAGGCCAAGGAGGAACCCAAGGCCGAGGAGACGAAGACGGAGGAAGCCAAGACCGAGGAGCCGGCCAAAGAAGAGCCCAAGGCCGAGGCCGAGTCTGCGGCGGAGGAGCCCAAGGCCGAGGTGGCTGCGGATGCCCCGGTTGAGGAGGTCAAGACGGAGGTGCCGCCGGCCGAGGAGACCAAGGCTGAGACAGTGGCTGAGGAAGCAAAGCCTTCCGAGCCCGAGCCGCAGGAGAAGACCGTCGTGGTCGCTGAGGAGGAGACCGCCACCAAGGCGGTGGAAGCAATCGAGGAAACCGTGTCCGCCCCCGCCGCCACCTCGGAGGAGGCAGCGGCGCCGGAGGCGGTGGCCGAGACTGAGGCGGCCGCGCCCGAGCCTGTGCTGATCTGGGGCGTGCCGCTGGTGGGCGACGACGAGCGCACGGACACGGTTCTGCTCAAGTTCCTACGAGCGCGGGAGTTCAAGGTGAAGGAGGCCATGGCGATGCTCAAGTCCGCGGTGCTGTGGCGCAAGCGCTTCGGCATCACCTCGCTCCTCGACACCGACCTCGGCCTGCCGGAGCTGGAGAACGTGGTGTTCTATCGCGGCGCAGACCGCGAGGGCCACCCCGTGTGCTACAACGTCTACGGCGAGTTCCAGGACAAGGATCTCTACGAGAAGGCCTTCGGCGACGATGAGAAGAGGGAGCGCTTCCTCAAGTGGCGCATCCAGCTGCTGGAGCGCGGTATCCTGTCGAAGCTGGATTTCTCGCCCAGCGGCATCTGCTCCGTGGTTCAGGTTACCGACCTCAAGAACTCGCCGCCCATGCTCGGCAAGCACCGCACCGTCACCCGCCAGGCTGTCACGCTGCTCCAGGACAACTACCCCGAGTTCATTGCCAAGAAGGTAACGGTTCGGTTCTCATCGTCAGTTGAATTGTTGATTTGGAATTTTATAGCTGCATGATTATGATTCAACATTGCCATAGTGATTCGAAAATTTTAGTTCGGTAGTCTGAAAGATTCCAATTTCGCGCGATTGTAGTTTAACGTTGGGAGTGAATGATTGGGCCAAAGCTTATTCATTGGGTGCAGTGCTAAAGGTTGGACCTTTATGGTGTCATGGACTTTTTTACTCTGATCCGGCTGGTTTGAGTTGACTGTTGTCTTTGGGTGTGTGCGCGTTGTGTTAATCATAGTGCAGGTTGGGATCTTTTCCCTTAGTTAATTTTTTCACATGATCAGGCTCGGGCAACTAGTGTGCTGTTGTTTTGTTTATTGTTACTGATCCGAAGAGCGAACAACTTGATGTTGATTACATCTTCAGAAGCTTCTTCAGATGTGGAATGTAACTGTAAATTTGTTTGGTTCATCTTGTACAGGTGTTCATCAATGTGCCATGGTGGTATCTCGCTGCCAACACGATGATGAGCCCGTTCCTCACACAGCGCACCAAGAGCAAGTTCGTTTTTGCGAGCCCAGCCAAGTCAGCAGAGACTCTATTCAGGTTTGGCACAGAAAATTTTATGCTTTCCTTACTTAGATTTCAAGCATTATGTTCATAATGTCTTGTTGATCTTATCTATCAAACTTCAGATACATCGCACCGGAGCAAGTTCCGGTCCAATTTGGAGGCCTCTTCAAGGAGGACGATCCTGAGTTCACCACCTCCGACACTGTCACTGAGCTCACTATCAAACCATTGTCAAAAGAAACCATTGAGATCCCTGTTACCGAGGTGGTCCTTGCTAAACATCCTAATTCACTTCTCATGGACCTTGCTCTAGATTATTGTTACTAATTATTGTGTAGAATGTGCAATCTTTGCAGAACTCCACAATTGTATGGGAACTCCGGGTGCTCGGTTGGGAGGTGAGCTATGGTGCTGAGTTCACCCCTGATGCTGAGGGTGGGTACACTGTCATTGTACAGAAAACAAGGAAGGTGCCCGCTAACGAGGAACCGATCATGATGGGAAGCTTCAAGGTAGGCGAGCCTGGCAAACTTGTGCTAACTGTGAACAACCCTGCATCCAAGAAGAAGAAGCTCCTTTACCGATCAAAGGTCAAGAGCACCAGCGAGTCAGTGTGAGGTTGCTGCTAGCTGCCTGGGTCCTACAGTTAAACGATCTACCACAGTTCATCTCAGCATGATAGAAGAGAGGAGAAACCTTTTGGTTTGGTTCGTTAATTTATTGGGTTTTGCTGGTTTTGGTGCACGTTCTACATTTTGTTTGGTTAAACCAAAGTGAGCTTGTTTTTGTGATAGTAGATGGGAGAAGTATAATGACATTGTGACAGGATGGTTGTTGATGAGGGCAGCGGAGGCGAAAATGTGGGAAGGAAAGGCTGGAGAATGTCTGCTCCTCTGTAGATGTGTGTGTACATTGCATCTCTTGGATTCTCGTTGATATGTTAAATTTAGGAGTACTTGTCGCATCATTATTCAATCCATGTTACTCTGCATGTTCCTCTTTCTCTCGGTGTCCTTTCCCCTGTTAATGGAACGCTGTCTGCTGTCCATGGATATCAGGATCTGCCTGCTCCCAAGTCCCACCATTTCCAGCAACAAGGGGATGTGGGATGTCCTCAGAACCAGTTGCAGAGAAGAGATAATAATGGCCGTGTCATGGGCTCACAGAAACTATACTTTGATCATGTTCTGATGACTGCACTTGGGATGAAACTGTCTGCCTGCCATACCCTGCTTATTGACAGCAGCACTTCACGTCTCATTAGGGAAAGCTAGAATCTACAGTATTTTTCTCTCACAACAAAACAGCTTCAGCCAGCTTATCAGCTGGCTTTAATACCAGCCGAACATGCCCTTATAAAGGAAAACATGTTTCAGTCTCTTTTGCATTAGGGAAAGCATTATTTTAGATTAGAAAGGAAAACATGTTTCAGTCTCCTTTGCATAGAGAGGATTACGCCACGGGTACCTGGGGGTGCCGCCTTCAGAAAACAAGCAGCAAAATGACAAGGCTGCAGGAACAAGCAGAAAAAGGCGGAGCTTGTGCTGCTAATGATGGGCATAAACTAAGCGTGGATAGAACATCCAGAGGCGCCGCCGCTCCTTCCAAGGCTGTCATCGTGTTCCTCAAACGACAGCATGCAAAGTAAAGTAAAAAAAAAAAAACCCAAAGTGCCAAAGTGACAAAAGGCGGGGCCGGAACAGCTGTTGCAAAAGAACATGGGCTCCTGTGCAGCAGTTGCAAGAGCAAGGCAAGCAGAACTGCAGAAGACTGAAGACCCATAGTCCCATGTCTAATGCAATGCAAGCCCTTTGACTCCAACAAGCACCAGCAAAGGCCAGTACAATAGTGCTCATTTCCAGAGTGGCCATGTGCTTGGACCTTGGAGGCGCCTTTAAATGGCCAAATCGCGAGAGCTTTCGGCTGGGACGCCGGTGGAGGCGGTGGGTCCAGGGCAACCGGTTTACCGGTGGCATTTGGACAGCTCGCATGTGCGTCGGCCGCATTTTTCTGGTGTTTTTACTCCGTCTTTGCGCAAAAGCAAGACCAGTTTACGTATCGCGGGAAAGAAGACGGGCTCATGATTAGCGGCGTGGACATGCGCCTCTGTCACGTTTGACGTTTGCGCGATCCTTTATTTATTTATTACTGGCAAAGTGTGTTCATGCGTTACAGTTACAACAGAACGTACACTTTGCTATATATGGAGCGTGTTCGTTTCGGATTGGCTTATAAGCCATTTGTGAAAGTACCGCTAGCTGGTTTGGTGTGAGAGAAAAATATTGTTCGTTGGCTGATAAGTCAAGGCTTATAAACCAGATACGAGCTGCCGAACAGGCCGATGGTCATCTGAATAACTTATGACTTAGGTTTATCTATCAGTCACCTCATATGTTCTATATCAATACATCACACTATTTGTATATGAGTTTTGCTCCGGTGGTCCTCTTTTAAAAAGTTGCACGGATCTTAAAGCGCCAAGTAATTAATTTAATCAAATTTGTGTTTGGATCTGGACTGGCCCATACCCATGTCCAACCCAAGGCCAGCCTTCCCCACTCTCTATTCTCCTCTGTATCTCTCGATCTCCCATCATTTCTTGTCGAGAGGGCAGACGGAGGCGGCACCAGCCACCGAGGTGGTTCCTGCGCCGCATCCCTGCTCTGGCGATGGTCTCGTAGTGCAGGCGGACGGCGCCGGCGGACCGGGCGGATGGTGACGGCGGCGACTCCTTCGCCGCGCTGCATTCCGGCCGTGGCGCTGGTATCTAGTGGATGCAGACGGCGGTGGAGGTGGACGGCTGCTGTCGTAGACGGCGGCGGACGGGTTCAAACGGTGATGGTGGTGACTCGGCAGGGCTTTGCGCCGATGCGCGAAATCATATGGTTCTTTGCTACTATTTCATTGCTCAAATGGACAAGATTGATCTGGATCGAGGCACTCACTGAATATTGATCAATGTTTATGGTTCATCGATGATAGTTGTTGCTAGTGCGTTACTCGAATAAACTAAAGTGTGTTAGATTGATCTCCACCAATTGGCCCAACTGGACCATTGGGTCCGCACCCTGATCGGGGCCGCCCAACCGCTCCATGGTTGGTGGGCTCCCGTCGCACAGCGCCATAAAAAAAGAGGTGGGGGCCAGGGCACAAGGCATGAGGTTCACCTGAGCCGCCAGACACCCCCACCGACATCCTAACCCTAGCCGATCTAGAGAGGGGGATCTGCCAGCGACGGAAAGCTCCACCACCGGCCACCGCCGCCACCGCGACCGCGCCTTCACCGCCGGGCTTCACTGTGCCACCGACAAGCAACCCCATGGCCAGCTCGTCTTCTACGAAGGCGGCCGGTGGTTTGCACCTCCGCACCCTCTCTCTCACTCTATCTCTAAATCCCATACTAGTTCATTTTCTAGGACTTGCTATTTATCCCAAATGTCAGTATACATGCTAGATCTATGGCTAGTGGATCCTATCAGGTCTATCAATGGTATCAATCGCCTAACTAGACGTAGATCCAGCTCATCGAGGTAGAAAATCGAGTAGAAGAGTAGGAGGGGATTTGATTTGAAGAAATGGATCGGGCCCTAACCCTAACCCTAACCCTAGAAGAAGTAAGAACGGAGAAGGGGAGGACCTACCCGGTTTTTCTCGTCGCCGTCACCACCGCCGTCGCACGGGTAGAATGGGCTGAGCCGCCGCCCGACGCTTAGTCACCGGCGCGTGGGCTCTGGGCGTCGACACAGGACCGCTCGATGGCGGCACGCTCACCCACTGGGGAGCACGCGCTCTAGCGAGGGACCCGTGGTGGCGTCGTACTCTTCTTCTCTGACGTCAGTTGCACTGAGGAGAAAGGGGGAAGATCTAGGGTTTAGGGCGAGCCCATCGCAGCGCGTGTGGGGATCAGGGCACTGTTGCCTAGAACGCTCGACGGCGGCGCACTCAGCCTAGGACGAGCGTGCGCGCCGACGAGGGGACCGACGACGGTGCCGCTGCGCTACCTTTTCTCTTTCGACTGCGGCGAGGAGAGGAGAGGGAGGGAGAACTGAATGAGGTTAGGGTTTAGGAGTCGCGGCCACGTACGCCATTTTGATCCGCCGAGGAGCATGGATGGCCATTGGATCGCGATGAACGAACGGCGTTCGCTGGACCGGATTTGGCCCAGGCGGGCAAGAGAAATCCCGGCCTAGGCCTAGGTTGCGGCCTGGTGAAAGGTCCTAATGGCTAGAGGAGGTGAATAGCCTATTAAAAACTTCTACAACAACACTTAGCAAACCGGTTAGACAAATATGAGGCGAAGCGAGTGTTGCGCTAGCCTACTAAAAATGCAAGTCACCTACTACAATTCTAGTTTCTATAGTCTCTATCCACACAATGGCTATGTTGCTACACTAAGTTAGTGTGCTCTCAAAGGCTAACTAAAGAGCCCCACTAACCAAACTAACAAGCTCTCACGACTAGCTACACTAAAGATCTTGACAACTAGTTTGCGGTAATGTAAAGAGATAGAGCAAGATGATTATACCGCCGAGTCGAGGAATGAACCAATCAATCATAAGAATAAATACCAATGAAGACCAATCACCTTGAAATCAAATGATGAACACAATGATTTTTTACCAAGGTTCAATTGCTTGCCGGCAAGCTAGTCCTCGTTGTGGTGATTCACTCACTTGGAGGTTCATGAGCTGATTGACATCACCCGCCAAACCCTCAATAGAGTGCCGCACAACCAACACAAGATGAGGATCACACAAGCCACGAGCAATTTACTAGAATACCTTTTAGCTCTCCGCCTGGGAAAGGTGAAGAACCCCTCACAATCACCACGATCGGAGCCGAAGACAATCACCAACCTTTGCTTGATGATCGTCGCTGCTCCAAGCCATCTAGGTGGCGGCAACCACCAAGAGTAACAAGTGAATCCCACAGCGAAACAAGAACACCAAGTGCCTCTAGATGTAAACACTCAAGCAATGCACTTGGATTCACTCCCAATCTCATAAAGATAATGAATTAATGATGGAGATGAGTGGGAGGGCTTTGGCTAAGCTCACAAGGTTGCTATGTCAATGCAAAATGACCAAGAGAGTGAGCTAGAGCCAGCCCTGGGGCTTAAATAGAGAGCACCCACGAATAGAGCCATTGGCTCTCTATTCACTGAAAAATCGGGGTGATCGGACGCACCGGTCAGATCGACCGGACGCAGGACCCCAGCGTCCGGTCGTGCGATGCACGGCACGTGGCCCCTGCTTCAAATGCTGATCGTCCGATCTCAACGGCCATCAGTGCACTTAAGTTGTGACCGGATGCTCTACAGTGTAGGATCGGACACAGGACCCCAGCGTCCGATCACTTCCAGTAAGGTTCCAGTCACGACCGAACGCGTTAGTTTGATCACGACCGGACACAGGACCCCAGCATCTGGTCACTTCTAGTAAGGTTCTAGAGGTGGAAATTCGTGATAGGACGCGTCCGGTCAAGCCTGATCGGACTCGCCCAGCGTCCGGTCACTCATGGTCTTCTCTGTGCGTTGCCACATCAGCAGGACCGGACGCTAAACAGTGTTCAGCCAGAGTCCGGTCACCTGCGTCTGGTCAAGAGACCGAGGGCGGCC